TTACCGTCAGCTGCAGTAACATAGCTAATCTGTTGATCTAATTTCTGTTTTTTAGGTGATGACTCATTAGTATTAAAATCACCAACTTGAGTTTTAGGTATCACATCACATAAGGAACGCGCCATCACAAAATATATATGATATATTAATCTAAAAACATAACAATCTGGATTATACAAGCGCAGCAACAGAATTTTGTGCTGTCCGCAAAAGAACTTCTAGAAAAAATCTGACAGCACAGACACCATGATTGTGAGTAATTGGAGAAATGAATAAAAACAACTCGACTGAGGAAGAATTTTTGAATAGTTTAAGTATTAGTTTATGAAATTAAGCAGAAGATGAGCGAGTTTATCTCAAATAAAACGAAATCAAAGACAAACTTCGGTTGACGACAACTTTTAACATGATCTCCAACTTTGTACTGAATGAAAAACAGCTTAATTGTTTTCTTAAATGATAATTGTTAACATCATATTCCTGCAAGTAATAATATTTAGTTTCAGTGTTTTTAATGACAATCTGAAGCAGAAGAGAACACTAGATACCAGTCACAAAATTCTTCGTCACAAGAAACGAGAAAACAGAACAGGAGGACAGCTTGTTTTCATAATAATACAAATGCATTACCTGAGTAAAAGATCTTTTATATAGAAGAGCTACTGGACATAAGGTGCCGGGAATGCGAAATTCTAGTAAAAATTTTATTTTCGCCTTTGTTTTACACCATTTGATAGAGCGTGAGCTGCTGATCACGAAAATCTACTTTTTAGCCATAGCAAATGCTTCCTTCCGATCGAAAAATACGAAATACTCGAGAAGTGTCGTTTTTCGAGAAAAACACATATTTTTCGAAATGTGCAAAATTTTCTACTGAATTTTTTTTCCAGCTTCTGAAACTAATTTTTCCAGATTCGGCATTAAAAACTGAGTACCGAGACGTTGCTAAAATGACTCTAGACCCAAAACTCTATTGGTAATGGCGCTTCGAATCACATCGAGTCCACAACGTATAGGTCGATTTTGTAAACCTATCTAGTTTTTCTACGTAAGTGATGGAGTCAAATATTTTATCTCATTCGGCTCATCATATCACCACTCACAAAGTTAGAGACCACTTTTTTCTCTTTTCTTTCTGTGTTGAGAAAAATCATTTTTACTGGTATCATAGTCATTTTAGGCGGTATTCAAGGTTTTCGAATTCAAATAAGACTTTTTTGGTCATAAACTCAATACAGATTCGGTATCAGCACAAAAAAATGAGTCGAATGAAGTATCTTTCAAGTCAATTGACGACTTTCATTTTTTGACCCGTATACAACAATTGCAGCCCTCCGACAATATCTGAAAAAATGAAAGTTGTCAAATTGACTTGAAAGATACCTCATTCGATTCAGTTTTTTGTGCTGATACCGAATCTGTATTGAGTTTATGACTAAAAGTCTTATTTGAATTCGAAAACCTTGAATACCGTCTAAAACGACCAGTAAAATACCAGTAAAAATGATTTTTCTCAACACGGAAAGAAAAAAAAGTGGTCTCCAACTTTGTGAGTGGTGATATGCGTTGTGGACTCGATGTGATTCGAAGCAGCACCACCAATAGAGTTTTGGGTCTAGAGTCATTTTAGCAACGTCTCGGTACTCAGTTTTTAATGCCGAATCTGAAAAAATTAGTTTCAGAAGCTGGAAAAAAAATACAGTAGAAAATTTTGCACATTTCGAAAAAGATGTGTTTTTCTCGAAAAACGACATCTCTCGAGTATTTCGTATTTTTCGATCGGAAGGAAGCATTTGCTATGGCTAAAAAGTAGATTTTCATGATCAGCAGCTCACACTCTATTAAATGGTGTAAAAAAATGCAGAAAAAAAATTTTACTCGAAGTTTGACTTGCCTGCACCTTACTTTACTGCAATCTTGATAAATCGACAGAGTAAATCCCTGTACGACAACAAAAATAAACTAGGAGAATACGAAACAACGAGAAGATTACTATTTAATGATTGTCTATTTTACTTAACTTTCGATAGGAAGAGTCATAATACGACGTGAGAGGATTGAGAAGTTTCCTTTCATTTCTCACGTTTCTCATCTATATCACCAAAAATTCAAGAAAAAATCAGCATGTGGAATACTTTTACACCAGTAAACTGTTTTACAGTGCAAGATGTATGTGAGTATATTTCAAATTTGCTGCTGTGTGTACTATACACGCTGTTCTTACTTAGTACAAGCATCATTCAGAACGCGAGGAACAGGCAATCACTCTGATCGGTACTTGATAGTCTCAGTAAATAGAAAGAGAACAAGAAATAATGTACGACTGCTTTAACTAACACTTCACGATACTGGTATTTAAGGCCTCCCTAGAATAAAATCTTTTTGTCTTATATAATAAACCGACCATGCAGTGGGTCAATGAATTTTTGTTTGTCGATGACTCTAATTCAGTATGTCCAGATTTGATGAATCCAGATTTCCTTTGGTGAAATTTTCTGTTTATTGAATTCAATTCTAAAACTAATAGTTTGATCTCGCTACGTCCGCTGGCCTAGTTTTTCTTATAGTGGCCAATCATAGTGAAGGAAAGTGCATCGGAAAATAAAATCAAGAAAGTGACGCAGTCCATGCCATCAGTCCACTGACCATGAGTTCTGATCAAGAAAATTGAGAATTACGAGCAGAATTACGACTTTTTCGTCTCTCATGTAGAAAAAGTCGAATATCTCACGAACGCGAAAAAAACTAAAAAAAACTGGACGTATACTTTTGTAGAGCTTCAAATGGCGCATCGAACGGTGTAAAAATTTTGGCTCTAGATCCTCTCCAGAGGGAGTTGAGAGACTTACAAAAATGGATTTTGATCACTTTGTTTTTGGGCTTTGCCAAAAACCGAATTTTCCTTGTGCGGCTACAAAAGGTATATCTATAGATTCAGTTTTTGATGCTGAATCTGAATATGCTAATCACAAAGCTGTCCAACATTTCCTGACGAAAATACACGGCTTCTTCTGACTACTATTTTTCCATTCACAGATATAAACAAAAGTCTTTGATGAGGTGCCAGTAATTCAAAGTTTCCAACTGAGTGTTATGATGATGATGACGTGGCAATTTTGTGGCACATGAAGATTGAATTCTTCCGCTAATTTCAATAGACCTTAAGAGTCATTGCACGAGTGAGACAGCTTTTTTGGGTACCAATTGCTCAATCGATGTTTGAGTTTTTGACTCAGGATTTTACCGTAGGTAGAGGCAACATATATAGGAAGATTTTAAAAAATTTTTCGCTCGGACTTACTTCGTTTAAAAGTTATAGAGCTTTCGTAAAAGCCCTAAAAGGAGTCTAAAACGATACTTCTATAAAAGTCAAATTTGTGATGTTTATATCTTGGTCTAGGAAGTTGATTAAGAGCTCATATGTGCAGCATAAGTAGTCGAGGTCGAATGACCAAGAATGTATGCAAAAATAAGTTTTACATATGTGCGCGTTAAAAAGTTATAGAGCTTTTCATAAACGCCCTAAAAATAACCTAAAACGATACTTGTATAAAAGTCAAATTTCTGATGTTTATATCTTGGTCTAGGAAGTTGATTGAGAGCTCGTATTTGCAGCATAAGTAGTCGAGGTCGAATACTATCTATAACTAAGAGCATATGCAAAAATAAGTTTTACATATGTACGAACATATGTGCACAAGATGGTAAAATTTTGCTGAGACGAACAGTTTGACGTAATTCTTTTTAACGTAAAAACTTTCTTATTGCATTGAGTGTTACTTCTATCCAGTGTACAAGTATACCTGTACTATAAATTATGAAATCGATCCATACAAGTCTCTTGGTTTATGCACGGCTGAGCTCGAACGTCGACAGAAAACGAAAAATCGCCTGCTTTCTAGTCGCTTTTCTCGTCCGATAGTATTCCAAATGTTGGGACTATAATGCCGTTGTAATCTATGGACCCAATACTATTCATGCCTGAAAGCCGTTTTTTGGAGAATTCACATATGGCTCTAAAAAGGGTCTCTGAAAATCCGTTTTTTGAAGTTCACTTACGAGGGAACATATCTAACTGATCAATCGCTGTTTTCACCAAACCTAGTGGGTTATAGGTTATCGGCCTCGCCGATTCTGAATATCCATATGAGACGGACCCCTAGGCCTTTCTAGAGTGGTTTTCCAGGAATCTCGAAAACTCTCCGAAGCTTTCCATTTAAGTCACGATTGTAGCCCACGAAATTATGATCAAAATGAGACATCTCCGACCTCCACGCGACCTTTCTTTGCGAAGTTATAGAATTTACAACAAAAGCCCCAAATTTTCATTGTCAGCTCAAAGCCACAGAAATAAGAAGAAATTCATTTAAGGCTTTTCTTGTAAATTCTATAGCTTTGCAACTTTGCCGATTTTCTGCTGCACATATGCCGGCATTTTCAGTTAGCAAAACCCAGTCTTTAAACATTATTAATTAAAGTTACATGCTTTTGTACTTATATTTTCATGTCTTCAAGAAGTTTTAACAGAAAGCGATCAATAATATTCTATAGAAATAAGAATTAAATATACTATTAGTATGAAAACATTGCTTCGTGTAGAGATCGAATATAAAGGAGTAAAAACACTGAACCATATCGAGAGTTTTCTTCGTGTAAAATACCTCGGATGTAAATGAATAAAAGCAGTGAAGCATATCGAGAGGTTATTAAGAGTTCATAGAAAATGTTTGGTAAGAGAAATACGAACACTGAACCATTATCTCAAAATATTGTGAACCAGTAAGGAGATAGAGATATCCTTTACATATTGAAATAGGGGTAAGTTGATCCATTTTACAAGTCGTTACGATATGTCAAATATTCTTGAGTGTGAAACTTTTGATAGGAGCGACTGCGACATATTATCGCAAAGACTTCAGCGTGCGAGAGCTGCTATACGCGAGTGTGAGGTGGAATCTCTGTGAACACGACTTGCTCATGCAAGAGGTGATTTGGAAGACATGAAACTTGGCGACAGAATTGAAAATGCGAGAAACGAATTGAAAAAATTAAGTGAGGATGATGCGGAAGAAACAGCTCTCAAAACGATTGCAAATAAGAAGCATCAAGAAGATCTTGAAGCGGAAGAGCATCGTCAGCGATATATTCAAGAATGCGCCGAAATGGAAAAGGCAAATGCAGCTCGTAATCAGCAGCAAATGCGAGAATGGGAGATTCGACAAGGGATAGATTCTGAGCGAGCAGTGATAGAAGCTTTGACTCGACAAAACGAAACTGAAGAGTTTCAACAGCTCCTACTCAAACAAGTTTCGACAGGTTTGAAGTCATCAGAAATGTCAGATGAAGATGAACTGACATTGGCAGAGTTGTCTAAACGTGAAACATCCAAAAAACCGATGGAACAGGTACTCGGTTATGACACCTACATGAACAAAGACAAACGAATGGTTTTAATAGTACCGGACGCAGTAACTACTATCACAACAGAAGACCAAAACGGATTACAAACTACAACTTTTTTTCAAGTAAGAAATAATACTAAATAACTGTCATAGTTAGAATAAGTTTCCTCTTTTAGTTAGAAAAATTGGAGAGCGGTTGTTTACATTGAGTAACAGGTAATTGCAGCATTGCCAGATGTTTTGGTAAGTAGAGAATATACTGATTTAAGCGTCCTACCCCAAACATGTCTTCAAATTTGGTCAGTTTGTAGAGAACACCTTCGGTGGTATAGCTATGCAATAAAAAACTCGTTGGTCAAGTACTGACAGAGTTATTAATTAATTAAGTTCAAAACTAATTGAAATTTTTAGTTTGAGAGGCATCTTTTAAAACCTTTCTAGCTTTCGATAAACTGAAATGAGGTTAAAGAATTGGTATTATACGCCCTTCGCTTTTCTTCGATCCAGAACATGATTTAATTGAAAAACGACAAGCTATTACGCTACGTTCTCTGATTTGTGAACAAATTAGGGCTTTTGTAATTTGAGTCGAAAACTAGACGTCAGAAAAGACAGTTTTGTTCAAAATAGCACAAAACAGGCACAAAGTTTTCGAAAAACAAGGGAATCCCACTCACGATCGCACTATTGCAGTCTTCGAAAAACTGAATGCTGCACCGTCGGACTCAATCTTAAGCTATTGGATTGCATAAAGTTGTTATAAACAGAGAAGACGATGTGCTGGTTGACTTGCAGTTGATATTTCCAGTTACATATTTTAGATACGAATCGAAAAATGATAACATTCAATGGAATTCCAAATGCAACAACCAATTGTGGTGGAATACCCAACGGTTATGAGGGTTTTAATTGGGACAATGTTGGTTATATTAATGAATATTTTGCTAGAGCACAATACAAGGATTGTGGTTTTGTTAATGCATTCAGTAATGGCGGAAAATATGTTGCGTTTAATTGGGCTGCTAATCCAATGTTAATATCATCCACGAATAAACATGTATTTGATGTTTATTCCCTGGTAGCAAATGCTGCTCATAATGACAATTTACCACTAACAATTACCGGATTACAACGAGGTAATGAAACATATAAGAAAACGGTTACATTACAACTGAAAGAACCACAAATCATTGAATTAAACTGGCCTCGTATTGATACACTACATCTTCAGGCATCTGGTGATTCGCCTCATAGTAAATGGTTTGACTTAAGTCAGTTTATTTTAAGTTGTTTAAATATCGGTTTATTTCAAACAGCTTCATAAGGTGTGTTTGTTTACTCAATTCTCTAACAACGTATGATCCAATACAGTAGACGATAGACTACTAACATGAGTTAATAGATAGTATGTTTAATCAGCAATTAATCTTGTTATTTCGCTTCTTTTCACACGAGTGTCGTATAAATTAAGCATATCATGTAAATAAATAGCTGTGCCTTATACTTCCACCACTAACAAATTTTGTTTACTCTGTTTTTGAAAAACTGAGAAACAGTAATGGAGTCAGTAGAAAGAGAGTATAATAGAAAATACAAGAGTAAGAAAGGACCCCGCCGGATAAGGGTCAAAATATGCCCCCCTCTTGTGCCAAGCTAGTATCATGTTATATTTGTAGAGTGGTCCTTGTCTCATCAGAATATGATATTTGTTTGGTCCTAGCTTTAGACTAAAAATAAAAGATGGTTTTCCTACTGCATCTGACGTGAGTGGTAAGGTTTAGTTCCGTAAAATGATTTTATCTTTTGAACAAAGCAATATTTTGAGATGCGATTTTCACCAATAAATAGAGCATATCAACTTCTATAGAATATATTGACAAACATAAATTTAATGTGTTTAAACAACATTTCAAGAAGCTTTGATTTGATTCGGCGATGGATTACCAATGTTTGTGTACTTAACTTGAATGAAATCTCCTTCATCTTCTTTAATATGTTTCAAAACAGATACCGTCTAAAAAACTTCTACACATATCCTTAGTTATCCTTGTGCAATTGGCATTCGAATTGGTAAAGACTATTTTCAGAAAAAATTCTTTTATTCACGTGTTCTAGGAAAAAACTTCAAAAAATTGAAAGCTGTCGTTTTTCCGAAATTTCGCTACTTTTCGAAAAACGTTCGGTATCTCAGCTCCACGTGGTCCTCGAACCTTCGGAAGATGTTTTTTGTAATCAGCGGATCAAAGTGCTTATAGAGAAGTATATTTCGAGGTTCCAGAGCTAAGAGATATGTTCGAACTTTGGTCAAACTTTACAGGTCTTTGATTCTGACCTGATTGCAAACCTATCAACAACCTCATATCGAACGACAGAACCTTCATTTTTACGCCATTCGATCCAACTTGAAACATAGAACAAAGTTATAGATTTAGTTTTTTAATTGGAGCAGATTTTAGATTTGCCTCATTTATACCTCATTCGATGCAGTTTTCAACGCTGATCACGAATATGTGGTCGCGAGATATTTTAGACAAAGTTTTCCCCGTCAAAAACTCGAAAAACTTTAGTAGTGTCGTGTTTTCCAAAACGGGTAGTTTTGCACTAAAAACTCGATAACTTTGCACCGTTAGGTCGCATAGGTCTGCGGCTTTCGTATTCGGATTC